AGCTGGATTAGATTATTAGTGGATATATCATAAGAAATTGGTAGTTATTTAATATTTTAATGCTGAGGATAATATAATTGTACAACTACTAATAATTTTCTTAAAATAGGAAAGGAATATTTTTAATTTTTCATTATTTATTTATATATTTAGATTAATCATAAGCAATCGCAGAGTGAGGATATCTGAACGCAAGTCGTCGGATCCGCACATTTGAATAGCATAAAGAGCGAGAGAGAGAGAGCGAGAAAATAAATTACGTAAATAATACGAAGACTCTGTTATACTGGAGCAAAACGGAGAAAGTACTAGGGGTGCAGAGTCCCCCGACGCCAACCAAGAAAATCGAGCGACGTGTTGGTGGACTCCGTGGACTGCTATGGGTTGCTTTGGCTCTCCAACTTCAAAACAGTCTGATGTCAACTCGGAGGATTCGAAAAGTCAAAAGCGAAGAAGCGATGCCATATCCAGGCAATTGCAGAAAGATAAACAGCTTTATAGGGCAACGCACAGGTTGCTCTTGCTGGGAGCGGGTGAGTCCGGTAAATCAACTATAGTCAAACAAATGCGGATATTGCACGTCGATGGATTTTCTGAACAAGAGAAAAAACAGAAAATTGATGATATTAAAAAAAATATTCGTGATGCTATATTGGTAAGTCTATTTTTGTTTTATTTTTAACAAATTTTCTCCCTTTTTATTTCTATAAGTTCTTATAACTGGATTTATTAAAAAACAAAAGCTTTTATTCGATCTGGTTAGTTTTAAGTTAATGAGATTGGATGAGATGCAATAATAAGGAAAACTAAATAATAATGAACGATTTAACAATGAAACGATCACTTATAAGGAAAAACTGAAGATTTGGAATATATGAATATAGAAGAAGCTTCAACAAAAATTTTGTTTATACATATATATTTCTGCCTCTTATTTCTATAAAATCAATATCTAAAGTTGGGCGCTTGACTCTCTCTTAATAACTGGAAATAATCTTTTGGTATTTGGGTAATCAATATGCAAACCAATAAGCTATTAAAACTTAGGTTTTGGGTATAAATGAATGCCTTATTTGTTTTATGTTTTGAAATATTTCATTCGAATTTTTTATTTTGTCTTTTGAAGCCCCACTTAACTCCTAACCAGAGGCTTTCAATGGATTACTATATACATACATAAATCGAGTTGCTGAGCAGACAAATCTAAAAATATTAAACTGCAAGTGTGCATAGGAGCGTGTTATCCTGATAAGAATGTTTATAACTAATAATTTTTTACAATTTTCAAATGAAAGAAATTTTTATATAATATGTAAGTATTTTTTTATGATTTATCTTTAAAGTAGCTGTGAGAGAATTATTATTGTTTAGTTTTTTGTTCTATCCATTTAAGGGGACTTTACTTTAAATAATTTTCTATCAAAATTTGTAATATATATATATACATATGTAAAGCAACAAATACAAAAAGGGGTAAGAAATTGAGGTACCTATTTAAACCTTTCAAATACAACTTCATTTGATATTATTCGTATCCGTATTATCTGTGTAGAAATTGAAAATTTAGCACTAAGCTATTAGACAAGCTCTAATATTCTCTCAGTTTAACTAAGAAATATCTAATACTGTTATTAAACTACTTTTCTGTCAAGCTCTTAAGCGTTTTGAACAATCAAATCTATGTAATCCTATCCGTCTGTTTGAATGTTTAATCTCACGGGTCCTGAGACTGGCTGTGAAACTCAGCAAATAATAATTTATGATAAACGTCATCTCGCTTAATATCGTATGTAGCTTTTTTATCTAGATCTTAAACTTTAATATAATTAAGTATATAGTTGAAAAAGATTTATACGGAGGAGCATGCTGTCTAACGTACTTAGTATGCCTCCTTCTGGTGATGGTGTCGGAGTTGAATTATCGAATGTAATATGCAGATATTGCTGTTATAACTAATTGATGTTTGTGAGAACTGATACATTAGACACTCTATCGTTTTCTATATGAATTTTTGCTAATGTTTAATGTATCAGGTA